TGTCATAGTCCCATGTTGTTTTTGTAGAAAATGGCAAGAATTCTCTTGGATTTTCCTGTACTATAGGGAATGCTTCATGCCTGTTATCCATAAAGCCAACTCTTATGCAGCTTCCATTTCCTCCCTAACTGCCACCTTTTCTAGTATGCCTACTTAGAACCAACTGCAGCTGGTGATGCAACTTCTTGGGATCCTGATTCCAATCAGCAATTTGGATGCCTCTCAACCCCTCAACTTATTTTAGTTTTCTCCTCTCCAAAATGTTGAATGTCCTGCAACATTGCATGTAATTTTCATGATTATTATTTTTTCACTGTTAAAAATCAAGTGTGTCATTAAATGACATGACCCAAATTCCTTAAGACATTGCCCAGTAGGTATTAATCAATCAATAACTATAATAATAGAGTATGAGAATATCAATATTTTAGAGTGATTTAGAGTGATAAAAATTGAGTCACCTTATATATGTCTGAGTATGAAATTAAGTCCTGAGAGAAATTAAGTCCTTGTTTACGTATATATAATATTGTGGTGGTATATGTATTATAGTTTGTTGATATCTATATCTATGCCTACACATATATATTATAGTGGAAGATGAAGAATGGACAGGCAAAGAATGAAAACAAAGGAAACACTATATTGGGAGAAATTTTTGTGAAGAAATGTAATTTTGGAATAAACATGTCTTTAGAGTCAAATTATTAAATGAATGTTTACATAGTTTTAGTCATCTCACAGATGTTGATGTCCACATGTAACAGTGATGCACTGGGCTCTTGTTTGGACTTTTTGCTATTGTTTATCTATCCCATTCTCTGAAACCCCTGTGAATTCTACTTTCTAAAACAGTTGGCTATATTTTTTCATGTTTTAATGATTTGAGAGGCATATTAACTGTTTGTATATGTTCATAACTGATGAACTATTAACAAAAGAGGAGAAAAAGACAAATATAAATATTTGGGAAATGATTTCCCTGGTGTACATATATGTACATGTGCATGGGCATACGTGTGTGTGTGTGTGTGTGTGTGTGTGTGTGTGTTGGGGATAGTGTGTTGAGGGAAAGGCAGAGGAAGGAAATAAGGACAAGCATATGAAAGATGCAAATCATTAACAACCTTTCTAGTATGAAGGTGAAATGGTGGCTCATGAATGAGTTTTAGTGTTTTATCCTTTTGAATATACATTTGTATTATTTTGTTTCTATTAAATATGTTAGTGGAAAAGAATACTTCTAATGTTATCTCCAGGGATCCTTTGTGCTGACCATTTATGTTAGGAGAAAATGGAACACTAGCTGCAGATTTTCTTCAGTGTAAGTACCATGTGTCACCAACAAGAACTCTGTGTACTTTTTATTTGGATCAGTTGGGTTGTTTCTGAAGAATTCTGACCTTCCTAGATGAAGAATGATTCACAAACAGAATTAGTGTAGGAATTTTCACTGTATTAGTTACAAGGGCTGTCATAACAAAGTCTACCAGAGAGGCTTGCTACACAGAGAAATGTATTTTCTCACATTCCTGCATGGTGGAATAAGGTCAGGAGGCATGTGCTCTCTTTGAAGACTAGGGCACACTCAATTCCATGCTGTTCTCCAAGCTTCTGGTGTTGTCTTGGGCACTCTTTGGTCTGTAGAGATCTTATGCCAAGCTCTGCCTCTGTTGTCCCATGACATTTTACATGTGAATCTGAGTCTCTTGTCTTTTTATGAAGACAACAATCATATTGGATAACATCTATTTTGTTTGAGGACAACTTCAACTGGATTACATCTGCAAGTTCCTGCTATAAATGAGGTCATACTTATTGTTATATATTCAGCATTTTTGAAGCATACAATAATTCAAAACACACTTCTTCTCTGTCATAAACAAACTATTCATTTTCTGGAAGTTTCTGGTTATCTCCACAGGATTTTCCTCTTTTCCTATTAGCATCAAGCAAACCCCACCCCCAGTGTTTATCATTGAACTCTGTCCAGTCATGAGTGTGTTCATTTGCATGTGTGGCTTATCCTTATCCTTACACAGTAACTAAGAATTAAACAGTACAATTTAGTTGAAAATATATTAGTATATATTTCCCAAAACATAACCATATGAAGTTTCTACATTTATAATTTGAAAATTAACCATTATTCCTTTAAAGATAAGCAGACTATGTGGGTACATATGTGGGTTGCTTATGAGCATGTGGACACACAGGCATTTCCAGCCTTCTCTCCTCTGTTTCCACCACCTCCTTTCACTCATTAGATTTGATTCATTTGGTAAACAAAGATTACAGGGTGATCAAAGTTTTTATCAATTACATTTCTGACAGAAGAAATCATAGTACAGTAATTCTTTCTTTAGAATTGTTTATGGAGCCTGGTTTCTGAGAACGGTATACGAAACAATCCTTTTTCATAGCTTAAGTACTTAACCTCACTGATTTCTTACTATTTTTGTGTTCTCACACATAATCAGAAGATTTTTTTCTAGAGCATATTTTAGATATAATCTAAGTAAAAATAAATGTATTTAAGATTTAGAGTCTTCTTTGGAATCTAGTTGCCTCCTCCTTCTCAGGTCACTTAGAATTTAGGTTTTGTATATTGTGAGGGTCACAGGTCCTACTGGCATTTCCACTGGCTATTATGTATATCCGCAATGCACTTTGATCAGTTTTCACGATTGCTTGATTTTTGATTCTTAGCACTTAAATGGCAATTTTCTCATTTCTTAATAAAATAGACAAACAAATTCACAGTATTTGTTTAACAAAACAAAAAATACACAGTATTTATTTATCCTACCTACTTCTAATCTCAGCATTTTGGAAGCCGAGGCAGCAAAATGGCTGCACATTTGAGGCCAGAATCAATTACAGATAGGTGCTGTGTCTCAACAAGCATTAACTCTGTATATACTCATATACTACATATTAACATGTAATATTTTCACCCAGACTAAGATGCCTAGCTACTGGAATAACTACAGTGTAGTTTGAGATAGTTATAATATGATTACACTATATTACCCAAATAATTGTAAAGTAATTTTTCTTTTTAAAAACACATAGTAATGTTCCAATTTTGGTAAAACAAGAAAAAATAAAGCAACCAAAACAGTTTTTAATCAGGGGTCATTTCTGTTGTTTCTTGTTAAAGAGTTACAAGAAAGAATCAACTGATGTTAAAATTGAATAAGATGAGAGAAAGGAACACCATCAATTGTAATTGACAGCACTTGTAATTGTGTAATTGCAAAAAAGGATGTCTGTAAATAAGCCCCTTTTGGGTGTAAAACAAGAATGCTCCTCTGTAATAGGTTACATTTAAATTGGAGGAAAAAATTTCATTGAACTAGAATTTAGTTAGTGTTTGTTTCTCAGATATCAAGCTTTAATCTCAGGAGCACCTTTCCTGAATGCTACAGATAGCTCTCGTGGGTCCCTTCATCCCTTTACCTCTGGCATTGTGATTGCCTTCATGTTTCCCCTCCCCCAACCTTTTAACCATTTATAGCATTTTCTCTAGGTGATACTGATTTTGGTTTAAGTGAGAGGGGAAGAAAGGGAGTCCTTATTTTCTGGTTTTGCCTAGGTCTGCATATCAAAATTTCCATGACTTTTTCCGATGGTGGTCTAGTCTTCCAGGTATGATGAAACATATCAAATATTTTATACTAAAAAAGCAGTATATGAGCATGTTTCTTTGCAGCCTTTGTTCATCTCAATCTTATAGTATATTTACAAATAATTCTTAGATTTTATTTTAAATTGGGACTTCAGAAATATATTAAAGTATATCTTGAGAATAACCAAGACCAAAACTAACATAGATCTATAGGGAAGCTATATGGAATCTGTCTATCTATCTATCTATCTATCTATCTATCTATCTATCTATCTATCATCTGTCTATCTATCTACATCTTCACACACACACATATATGAAAATATAAGTTAACATATATATATATATATATTATTTGTATACTCACATACAAATAAATGTATGTACTCTAATATTCATATTTGAATAAAGTAGTAGTTAATGGCATATTCTGAATATAGTACATATATTGCTATAATATATAAGGAATGTAAGTTTAATTTGGATCTATCTTAGGTGTGGTATCAGTTGCTATCATTACAAAAAATTGGCTTTCTCTTAAAGCAGGCTACGGGGATTTTATAAGTTTTTACTGATGAAAAATGCTTTGTATATTTCATTAGCATATCTGTGATTTGATTAATCAAAAAGCTTAATTAATTAAAATGTGTTCATTTAACATTGAAAAAGTTTGAGCTGGTAATAGAATGATCTCAATGTCTCATCTTTTTGTAGAAAGTAACTACAAAAGCCAGACATAACTATTTCTAATATTTTAAAATATAAATCTATGGGTAGGAGCAGAAGGCACCTTATATAAGTAAAAGTTTAATTTGTTTTTTGATACTTGAATTTTAAAGGCTTGTGCCTGAATGTATTATGGGTGGGTAGGCGATACCTCTGATTTTGCATATAATTCTTGCATATATTGTTTAACTTTGCTTGATGTTGGTGGTGTGTTTTATAGTGATCATGTCAGTATTCCAACCCTCTAATGATAGGAGGAAGATTGACCCTTTTGTACCATTGTTATGTGGGTATTCTATCTTTGGCTTCTCAAAATGGCTATAAAACAGCTGTATGAATCAGGGATTTTCATTAAATATTATTAAATATCTTTCTGTGCCATTCATTGGTCTCTATGTTGTCTACAGCCTACTTAATTTTTATGAAATGATTATATGTCTATTATTTTGTTGGTTGCCTAATGGAGTAAATGATTTTTGTGGGAAAATATTATCTTTATAGAAACTAAACTGCATAAGTGGTCATTAACAAATACCAAAAAGTATTGATTAAGAGAAGAAATATTTTAAGTTTTTTTTTTATTCAGAGCTTTAGAGAATTTAGTCCATGGTCACTTAATCACTGTCATCTTGTGTTGAGATAGATCATGATACTGGTGAGCGTGTGATGGAGCTGAGCTGTTCATGTCACAGGAAGGGACTGGACACATACTGACAAGAGGCCACCAAGGGTAAGTCAGGCTTTTAAAAGAAACTCTACTTCAATGAGCTACTTCCTCCTGTCAAGCCTCATATCCTGGTTGTCTATTTGCCTTGATATTCATCATCATGTTAACCTGATCATCAGATAAGCTAATGATATGCACAAAGCATTTTCATTGTTTCAATCAATATTGATAATTAATATTTATGAAGTTTGAACCCTGTTCACCCATATACTTTTAAAATCCTCTCATCTGGCAACTAGCCTTTAGAATATGAACCTTCAGGGAAGATACTTTGTCTCTAAGCCTCTGTCCTTACAGGCCTGAGATTAAATGTGCACTGCCATGCCTGGCCTATAGCACAGTTTACATTGTGATAATGTATGTGTGTGACTCTGTTCATGGATGGCTACATAACTTGGTACTGTGGTGTTATTAACAAAAGACAGTAGCATTTAGTGTATTCAGTATAGAAGATTCTGCTCAATGAAACAGAAGTACAATATCATTTCCTGGAGGGCTCCAGAGAACACCCAGGGAGAACTATGAATTGCCTATCCCCTTCAAGACTGTGGCATACGTCTTCTACTGCCCTTCTTATTACAGATGCTTCAGATTATTGATTTATAGAAGTTCTAGCCTTTCAAACCATTCATTCTATGGCCTTTAGACTCAAACTAAATATTAGACTTTACGTGCTCATCTTTAAGCACTGATATTCAGACAAAAATTATACCTTTGACTTTCCTGATTCTTTAGGTTGGAGGCAGAAGAAGGTATTCTTGTCTACCTCTATTTTAATATGATCCAATTCTAACAAATTAAATATCTATCTATCTATCTATCTATCTATCTATCTATCTATCTATCTATCTATCATCTATCGTCTATCCATCTCTATCTATTCCATCTATTTAGTCAGTTATCTTTCACCTATCTTTATCATCTATCTAGTAACCTGTTCAATATCTATCATCTATCTAATCTACATACCTTTCTTTCTACCTATCTATATATCCACCCATCTTTGCATCCGTCCATCTATGCAATCTATCTATCTGTCTGTTTGTCTATCTATCTATCTATCTATCTATCTATCTATCTATCTATCTATCTATCTATCTATCTTTCTGTCTATCCATCATGTATCATCTATCTATCCACCTATCACATATAAAACTGTCAACTATAAAGCAATTATTATGCTACTTTATCTAAAGCACATTGTTAAACATGAGGCTCCAAAGACATTGTTTCCAACTTAATTACAAAGGCCAGTTAGTGACTTTGAACTTATCAATTGCTCAGGAATATCAAAACTGGGAAACAATCCCACAGGAAATGATGGTAGAAAATATTTAAAGATAAAGCATATCTTAACATGCATTGTTGAGAAAAAATGTTTGCTTAAACAGTATTGAGAAGAACGAGAACAATTCTGGAAAAATCATTATGCATATGAAAACAGCAAAATTAGAGCACAAGAATATTTTGAGAAAAATCTATTAGTTAAATAATTTCCTTGAATAAGCTGTTATTCAAAAATGGAGGGGTGCTGTAGGTAAATTTAGACTTTGTAAGAAATTTAGATTGAGCTTCGGTGGCAAGAGGGTTACTTTGCACAAAATGACACTTCACATATTATATATAAATGTGAAGTTTTTCTCATTTAGTAAAAATACTTTTGCTTTCATAAACATATTTTAATAAATAGTATTTATCTGTCTTTACATTGTATTGTTCAATTACTTATACAATCTTTTTATTTGTTTTCTAAGGAAAACACATGAACACCTCACACTATTTATCCTTTGCTAACTTGCAGACATAATTAAAAATATCAAATAGCTAGGTGAAAAGCAAAGCAAAGGAGCTACAGTTTCTCCACGAAAGTAAACAACAAATACAACTTAATGAGCACAAATGCACAATCTGTTATAATATTAAGCTTAAGGTAACAGAAACAGTCTTTCACAGAGACGGAGCCAATAGCTTGAAGTATGGAGTTTGATCTTTGACTCATCCAGCTTAGCTGTAACCACTCATCAAAATGTCATGTGCAGGCTCCAAAGCCATTTGGAGTTCAATAAATCAAATTACCTCTCCTATGACCCTCTGCCTACCCTGACATATTGTTATTCTGCAAACAGGTGTGATTGGATTTCCTATTGTCATATTCTCTGAAAAGATAGATTCCTTCTAATTCTTTTGTCAATTGGTACAAATTAACACAATAAATGACACATCATTCATGATTCTGGAATAATGTTGTTTTTAACCACAATTTCCCCTTTTTTGTCCACATGTCAAATGAAGTGTATAGTTCCTTTTAATATTTAACAAATGGAGATATTCTTTGACTTTTCTCAAGAGTCACTAAAAATCCACAGGCCATATATATTTTGTTTTATTCTGAAACTTGAAGTGATATTATAAAATGTTTCACTCTAGCTCCATATAAAGGTCAGAAATCTTGGGATTTAACTGAGTTTTCTTTGGTTTAAATGAATTTGGAAAGAGGCTAATTCATCCTCAGTGTGGCTTTTGATTTCAGAATTAGTCACCAAGCTAATGATTGTCTTAGTTATTTTAATCCACAAAGGATGAAATATTAAGAAACTATTTGTGAGAAGCAGATTTAGTTGTCCAGCCTGTCACTCTAGGAGTCAGGCAGGACAAAGGGGTGGCAGGGCATTAGTACAAATTTGAGGCCAGCCTGGTAAGCACAGGGTTAGTTCGTCCAATGAGGGGCTACAGAGCAAGACCCTGCCCCAGCGCAGCAAGAATAACAATACTGGACAGGACCAGGTTCCTCCTGCCGAGTTTCACCTTCTCAGCTAATTTTGTGCTGCATTTTACTTGTGAAAAGCACTTGTCTTGGTTTCTTACTGTCAAATCATTTTTGTTTGTAGTTACTTTATATTTGCTACTATGCTCATATGTTCATATGGATAGAGACAAAATATATAATGAACTAAAATGATAATCTGGTGACTATATAAAAGTAACTCATAGGTAATATGAGAAATGATGAATGTTGAAGGACTACTATAGTGTAGATATTATTTTCTTTTCTTTTATTAGAAACAAGATTGTTTTACATGTCAATCTCTGTTCCCTCTCTGTCCCCTCCTCCCTTACACCCTACTAACACCCTACCTATCCAATACCATTTCTGCTCCCCAGGGAGAGTGGGGCCTTCCATGGGGGGGTCTCCAGAGTCTGTCATATCCTTTGGGATAGGGTCTAGGCCCTCCACCATGTGTCTAGGCTGAGGGAGTATCCCTCTATGTGAAATGGGATCCCAAAGTCCATTCTTATGCTAGGGATAAGTACTGATCTACTACAAGAGTCCCCATAGATTTCTGAGGCCTCCTCACTGACACCTATATTCATGGGGTCTGGATCAGTTCCATGCTGGTTTCCCAGTGATCAGTCTGGGGGCCAAGAGCTCCCACTTGTTCAGGTCAGCTGTTTCTGCAGGTTTCACCAGCATGGTCTTGACCACTTTGCTCACCACTCCTCTTTCTCTGCAACTGGATTCCAGTTCCATTCAGTTTTTAGCTGTGGGTATCTGCTTCTACTTCCATCAGCAGCTGGATGAAGGTTCTAGGATGCTATACAAGTTACTCCTCAATCTCATTATCAGGTAAGGGCATTTAAGGTAGTCTCTCCACTGTTGCTTAGATGGTTAGTTGGTATCATCCTTGTAGATCTTTGGACATTTCCCTAGTGCCTGATTTAGCTTTAAACCTATTCTGGCTCCCTCTTTGATGGGATCTCTTATTTTGCTCTCCTCTATTCTTCCCCCTACACAACCTTCCTGCTCCCTTATGTCCTCCTCACCCTTCCTTTTCTACCCTTTTCATTCTCCTAGTTCCCTCTCCCCTTTCCCCATGCTCCCAATTTGATCAGGAGATCTTGTCCCTTTCCCCATCTCCAGGGGACCAAGTATGTCTCTTTTAGAGTCCTCCTTGTTGCCTAGCTTCTCTGGTGGTATGGATTATAGGGTTGTAATCCTTTGCTCTATGTGTAAAATACATATATGAGTGAGTGCATACCATGTTTGTCTTTTTATGATTGGGTTACCTCGCTCAGAATGGTTTCTTCTAGTTTCATCCATTTGCCTGCAAATTTCAATATTCATTGTTTTTTTTTTCTGCTGAGTAGTACTTCATTGTGTAATTGTACCACATTTTCTTTACCCATTCTTCAGTTGAGGGACATCTAGGTTGCTTCCAGGTTCTGGCTATTACAAATAGTGCTGCTATGAACATCGTTGAACAGATGTCTTTGTTGTATGAATGCGCTTCTATTGGGCATATGCCTAAGAGTGGAATTGCTGGATCTTGTGGTAGGCCGATTCCCATTTTCCTGAGGAATCGCCATACTGATTTTCAAAGTGACTGTACAAGTTTGCAATCCCACCAGCAGTGAAGGAGTGTTTCCCTTTCTCTGCATCCTCTCCAGCATGAGATATCATTGGTATTTTTGATTTTAGCTATTCTGACAAGAGTAAGATGGTACCTCAGAGATTTTTGATTTGCATTTCCCTGATGGCTAAGGATGTTAAGCACTTTCTTATGTGTCTTTCAGCCATTTCATTCCTCTGTTGAGAATTCTCTATTTAGTTCTGTACTCCACTTTTTAATTGGATTATTAGTTGTTTTGGAAAATAGCTTCTTGTGTTTTTTGTAAATTTTGGAGATCAGCCCTCTGTAGGATATGGGGTTGGTGAATATCTTTTCCCAATCTGTGGTCTGCCATTTTGTCTTGTTGATTGTGTCCTTTGCCTTACAGAAGCTTCTCAGTTTCAGGAGGTCCCATTTATTAATTGTTAATCTCCATGTCTGTGCTACAAGTGTAATGGTCAGGAAGCAGTCTCCTGTACCAATTCATTCAAGGGTATTTCCCTCTTTATCTTCTAAGAGGTTCAGTGTGGCTGGATTTATGCTGAGGTCTTTGATCCATTTGGACTTAAGTTTTGTGCATTGTGATAGACATGGATCTCTCTACAATCTTCTACA